TTAACCTAGGCTTGGCCGGACTTCATCTCCGGACCACTCATCGCCCAAGGATTGTCCGATTTAATACTTAGAATAAAATTCCACTTGTCCGGATAACAAGTTCGGACAATACATCGCTCAAAGCTTGACCGATTTAAAATAATCCGGTCATCACATGGTCGTATTCCTACTTCTCAGTTCAAAATGTTAACCATTCTTAACAATCTTAACTCGCTTCACACTTAATCGATTTAAGACTAAACCGTTCAACACTTGAGCGGTTTAGGGCTTAATCGCCCAACCCTTGACCGATTTACAAATAATCCGGACAAGCTTTGTCCGATTTAAACTTAATCTGGTCATCCTTTGCCTGGATAAAAACCCTTAAGTAATTAACTGATTTGTTTCCAATAATAAATAACATTCAAATAAAATCAGTAACAAGTTTTATACAAAAAGGTTTAGAAATTACTCACCGTAAAAGCCTTTTGAAAACCAACTTGATCTTAAAGACAAGAAATAATCCGGTCAACTCTTTTTCTTCTAAATCACTCAACTTTTCTCCAAAAATAGCAAGAAGATTTAATGGAGACTTAACCTCCCTTTTATATACCCTTCCCAAACAGGAAGGTCGGCTACTCCATGTGCATGCATACCCATAAACCATGCACACATACATATATATACCTATGCATATATACACATATATCATGCATTTATATATATATATGTATATATATATATATATCCAATTAATGCACAATTCACTTATTAGCATGATCAAACATATCAATTTATCATGCTGTCATGAAATCATTTAATCAGATAATCCCACATTAATTACCTTGGGTGATAACCAAGATCCGGTTATCACACCTGAGTTTAAGGATTTAGGTATTTAACAGTATGATACCTAGACTTAAACTATTTTGTTGCATGTTAAGGGTCCCGGACATAGTTAGCACCATTGGAAATAAATATGATGAATTGAAAGAACAGTGTGTAAGGTAAATTTTAATTACATCTGGCCGATGTAATTATGAATTTACAGGTACACATCTGAACTTGAATACTTCATTATATTTGGGAATGTGAATACGTGAATATTAACACTAAAATTTGCAGATGTCTAGCCGAACTCGGAGATCTGAAAGAACAGCTCGACAAGAGTTTGAAGAAAGGGAAGAATCACCTGTTAATCTTCTGACTAGCATATCCGGAAATAGAGGTCGGGGAAGACCAAGAGGTCAAGGCAGAGGGAGAAGTCAATCTCAAGGAAGGGGTCGTACCGAAGTTCATTCTGAACATGAAGAATCCCATTCTGGGAATGTTCAGGAAAGATCGGTGCCACATCCGGAATATGTAACCAGGGATATGTGGGCAGAGGAAATGGGGAAGTTACGGGAAACTCTAACATCCATTATGGGAATACCAGCTAGGGTGGAAACAGAGAGAGTAGAAGTTCATCCCTCGATACCAGTTACTCATAACAAGGAGGGAGATATCAAAATGTTTCTGGCATGTAAATCACCAACGTTCTCTAGGGAGAGGGATACAGTGAAAGCTATGTGCTGGATCAAGGAGATGGAATCTGTGTTCACATCCATTTTGGTGTCCGAAAACAGATAAAGTTCAATTTTCTGTTTCAGTATTGAAATCAAATGCTTTGTTCTAGTGGGAAGTTGAATCATTAGCCCGAACGGATGTCTTACAAACGTTATCCTGGACAGAATTTGTGGACCGATTCAAGAATCAGTTTTGTCCTAAGACGGCAGTAAGACAAATGGAAGAAGATTTCCTGAAACTGGAACAAGGAAATAGAACAGTTCGGGAATATACCGAGAAATTTATTGAATACTCTCGATTTGCCGAGCACTATGTTTCAACAGAATCCAGGAAAATAGAAAGGTACATCTAGGGTTTGAAACCCTCAATCAGAGAGTTTGTAATTGCTATGAACCCAATACCTTTTCACTAACTTTAGATGCGGCCGAAGTGACGGAACGAAATAAAAATCGGCAAACAGAAGGGAAAGTTATGGAAAAAAGAAAGTGGGAAGGGCCTTTATCAAACTTTTGAGGGCCGAAAACTGTGAGATATGATAATAGAACAGATCAAAATGTTGGTGAGAAAGTTTGTACACAATGTCGACAGGTTCATCAGGGTGAGTGCAAGATGGACCCAAGGAAATGTTACAAGTGTGGTGAAGCAAGCCATTTGTCAAGAAGCTTCCCAACTAATAGAAGATGTTTCAATTGTAATTCTCCGGATCATATTCGACCGAACTGTCCATTGTTAAAAACTCCATAGCTGACTATGGGAAGTAATGTGTCAGGTACTCGGGGAAGACCTACTGTGAATAGAGGAGGGCAAGGAGGGGCACGAGGACGGTCCTTCCAGATGACAAAAAATGAGGCAGAAGGTCACCAGATGTAGTAACAGGTACCTTCCTTCTAAATTCTATACATGCTAAGGTGTTATTTGACTCTGGTGCAAGCTTTTCGTTTGTATCACCATCGTTTGCTCAAAATGCATGTTTAAATTATGTGTTACTTGTTGACGCATTAGTAGTTGATACTGCTAATAGTCATGAAACTGTTAATAGTGTATTCAATAACTGTATTATTGTTATTGAGGGTTGTGAACTGCCGATTCGTTTTTTCCTATGCCTATGAATGAATTTGATGTAGTTGTGGGTATGGACTGGTTGGCAAGGTATCAGGCTASTATTGTTTGCAATCAGAAAATGATCAGAATTACTCTGCCAGACCAAGGAACAATTGTTATTTATGGTGATCGTCAGAATCACCATACTAGTATTTTAACTGTGATGAAGGCTCCGAAAAGTATTCGAAAGAAGTGGCAGGGGTGTTTGGCATACGTAATTGATGTAAAGAAAGAAAAAGGAAAAGAAGAATCGATTCCGATTGTTAATGAATATCCGGAAGTCTTTCAAGAGGACTTGTCTGGATTACCACCGGACCGAGTTATTGAATTCTGAATTGATCTTATACCAGGGGCTGCACCAATAGCAAAGGCACCGTATCGGTTAGCTCCATTTGAATTGAAAGAATTGGTTGCACAGTTGAAAGATCTAACTGATAAATGATTTATTAGACCCAACACTTCACCTTGGGGTGCTCCGATCTTATTTGTCAAGAAGAAAGATGGGTCTATGCGAATGTGTATAGATTATCATGAACTGAACAAGTTGACAATCAAAAACAAATATCCTTTGCCAAGGATTGATGACTTATTTGATCAACTGGTGGGGGCGAGTTATTTCTCCAAGATTGATTTAAGATCAGGGTATCATCAGCTTAAAGTCAGAGAGGAAGACGTTGCTACAACAGCTTTCTAAACCAGAAATGGGCATCATGAATTTTTAGTTATGCCATTCGGCTTAACTAATGCACCCACAACTTTTATGGATTTGATGAATAGGGTATGTAAAGAATATCTTGATAAATTTGTCATTGTATTTATCGATGATATTTTTATATACTCTAAGACTGAAGAAGAACACGCAAAACATCTTCGCTTGATATTGGAATTGTTGAAGAAAGAGAAGTTGTATGCAAAGTTATTCAAGTGTGAGTTCTGGTTAAGGGAAGTCCAATTTCTGGGTAAAAGTAGTATAAACCAAGTGGCATTGTGATAATTTAATTAGTATAAACCTGTTGGGATTGATATATTGTTTACAAGGCAGAGATTATTGGCTTGAAAAGTGAAAGGTGTTGATATATTAGGTTTTTACTTGTTTATATATTGTGTTATATGTGAAAAGTTGTTTTACTTAAATATTTTGGTGATTTTCACCCTGCAATAACATAAATAGGATAACTCACTAGACCTTTTCCGTCTAACCCTCTTTTGTGATTTCAAATATGTATTGCAGGAAGTGCTGACGGTAAGGAAAAGGGAAAAATATAATATTTTTCCTATATGATTATCTGCATGAAGATTTACTGATGGAATGTATAGTTTTGATAGATGATCTGGTTTAGTGCAAGAATTGTATTTGGAATTTTTGGACCATGTATTTTGTACTGGTAGATTCTTGTACTAAGGGACCAATGTGGTGTACGAACATGTATTTCTTATATATGAAGTATATGTTACATGTTATGTGTGGAATGAGGTGTTACATGATAAAAAATTAATTATTAAGTAAAAGTTTAATAAATCTAAGAAAATATAATTAGGTTTTTAAATGATTTAAATAGAGTTTTTATTACAACTATATCATTAACATAATATTTTATCAAATTCAAAATGATAACTAATACTAAGAGGCCGTTTACCAAACGCTTACCCGATTAAGCGTTTATCGAGCCACATTATCTTACCGACCGGATGAATATGATAAGAACCAAAAATCTTTCTCGGTAACAGCGAGACAAGGACCAAGAGTCTTATCCGGTAAGTGAGGACGACAACTCTTACCAATGTAAGCGCTTACCAGGTAAATTGTTGCATACGATGTCATTTTGGTGAACTAAAATCTTACCCATTAAGAAAACGATAGTGTAAAATTTTACCGATAAACACTTACCGAGTAAGTGTTTAGTAAACATCCCCTAACATATTAAAATTATTTTATACTTTTTTATTTACAATATGTTTTTGATTAATAAATTATATAGTTTAAATTGTTTCTCGTCTTCTCATAAATTAATTGTATGTCACATATATAATAAGTACATAAGCATACATGTTAATTTGTATGTTAACGTATGTAATATGCCTAAAAGGATTGTCATTAAAATGCTTTCAAATGATTTATGATAAATTCTAATTAATTGAAATTTTGTCGTATTTATTTAAACTTGAAGATTCTTATTGTAATATTTGGACCAGATCGACATCGGCCTGCACCAAACACGCTTCTTGCTGGACGGCATACGTAGCCAACACCATGACCAAATCCTTTCGGCAGCGATCCCGGTTTTCATAACATACGATCGGAAATTTTTAATCCAACGCTTACAAAAACGCAATATCTGCCCGCACCCGTTTGGTCATGCGTTAGGTGTATTCACGACGCTTCCCACCATTTGTAGAGAAACACAAGGTTGATCCACGGGAACCTGGAACGACAAATAACTAATTAGTGACGAGAAACGTGTGGTAGAAAAAAATAGCAAATGGTTGGAACAAGTGTCTAATTGAAATGACGTAGCAACGGTTGTGGACATTTAAACCATGTTTGGAAGCCATAAGCTGACTTATAAGCTGAGCTTTTGGAGAAGTCCGGTAGGATAAACCATATATTAGAGTTTTAGCAATAGGGACTTTAATCTAGCGGTACGCAAATAATTCAACTATTTTTAGAGGTCAAAGGATTCAAAACTCAACAAACGTGAGTACTGTGTTTGAGTCATATAAATATTATATACTTACAAAATGTCCAGCTCCAAGAATCCAATAGAAAGCAAAGTTCTTATATGACTTAATGAATCCTTTTGTCACCGTGTCATCCTTGCCACAGTACAACGGAGTCCGGTCTAAGTTCAAGTACGCCGATAAACCATCCCACCTGAACGATAAAAACAAACCCACGTTGTAGCTGTAGCTGTCGGTAGTCAAAAATTTACGTAACGTTAATCAAAACACGAATGAAATGGCATATATAATTACTTGAGTTTGTTGATCCATGCTTCTGTCCCCTTGGTTGCACATATTAGGTCGATCTGTTATAAAACAGTTACGGAATCAGTAGTCGTTGTGTCACGAAATACTAAGCGATTCAAAGTTACTTGAGCAAAATTGTCTCACCTGACCGTTGTATACCGTCACATTTACGTCCTTCGACAAAAGCTCATCAACCTGGAAAACACATTTAACGAAATTTGTTCGTAAAGTGAAAAAATGGACCATCGAGACCGAACCCTTCACGTAATTCTGTCACGATTTGAGCGAAACCGACTACAGCAAAACTTGTTAAAAATTGAATAGATTAGAAGCTTTGATTACCTCTGCAATTCTTGGCCTCATGAAGTCGCCTTCCATGGCTGAAAACACACTGCGAGCTTGCCCTCCCCACCTATGGATGATTTTTATACAGTATTTTCAACAAATTTTCTATAACTTCTTTAAAATCAAGAGCTAAAATATCCAAAAACAAATTAGATTCAACTTCAAAAGATCTCATTTTGAAGATTTTAATCATTAATTCATATCAGAGAAACTTAGTTACTGTTTATCTGACGCTTACCCAGATAAACGTTTATCAAGTTACATTACTTTGCCCTATAAATATAGCCCATGAATCGTACCGATAAGACCGAAGGCAAGGACCGAGTGTCTTACTAGTTAAGTGAAGACGACGATTCTTACCACGGTAACCTTTACCGGGTAAATTGTTGGATACGATATCGTTTTGATGGACCAAAATCTTACCCGATAAGTAAGTGATAATGTTGAATTTTACCATAAACACTTATCCACGTAAGCATTTGGTAAACTGGTAGTATTTTCAACAAAAAGGATCTCCAAATCTGATGTTCCGGATACATATAACGATAGCGATGTTCACGAAAAGCTTTTTTTCTTAAATGGTTTTAAGAGCTTACGTAACATTTGCGGGAATAATCTTGAGCTTTTGTCTGATCGGACCATTCATGACGGAATCAAGGTCAACTGCGTCGTCGGCTTTGGCATGACGTTGTTTTCCTAATCGTCCCCATGCTTTTGTTTTCATAACAAATGGATCGTTTCCATCGTCCAACATGAAGTTGTAGAAATCCTAGAAATAACACACATTTTTTCGTTACAATTTTTTTGGGTAACCGTAGGTTATCTTGACTAAACTCATGGGGCATCGAAGATAATAGCTAGAAAATTTTCTATTGGCTTTTTCATTACAGTTTATGTTTCGGAAAAAGGAACAATCAAATGAAATCCGATCACACCGTACCACATCGTTGCTGCTAGCGGATATAACGTCCTCAAGTTTGGACCATGTACCGGTTGCAGCTTCATACTGTCCGTCTGCTAGCTGCTGCTGAATGTTTAGAGCTAAACTGCACAAACAAAGGCAAACATCAGATACTTTCACACCATCCATGTCAACGTTCGTAGCTTTCCAACATCAAACGATCTTGTTCGAACCTATTCGATTTGTTCAAACCAACGTCATCCATCCTCGACACATCTTTGAGTAACGGACCCCATGAAAGCTGCATATGTTGATCAATCAGGTTCATATATATGAGTAGAGATGCAAAAAAAAAAAACCAAGCATGAAGCCGTGGGGACCTATGAAAAGCTGAGCAGGGTTCCATGCACCCGATCCAACCAATTTTCCCAAGTAGAATTTTATTGGGCTATGAAAGATGGACCGGGGTATTACAAAATACAAGAAACATCAATAGAAAATAACAAAGTCTTGAAATCAACCAAAAAACCGAAATTCCATCAAAAAATTACCAAAAAACTGAAAAATTCATGTGAAATTAACAAGAAAAACTTTAAAAATTCTTTGAAATTGTGGAATTCATCTAAAAACACCGACTTTCCAGCCACCTTTGAGGTGCACCCGTTCGGCAAAAATCATAAGTCCATCGATGCATGAAGCCCAAGCATAGTAAGCCCTCGTCTAGGCCTAGACGGACCTTAAAGCCTAGTCAGGTCAACTTTTACTTAAGACTCTCTTAAACCATGACCTAAAAAGCCCGAAAACTTTGTCATATCTGTCATTTTCGACCAAAACGAATGAGACATACCACAAAATCTTCAGGAGAGATCCAGCTATCGCCCAAAGCAACGCCTATATGATCAAACAAGAACCATAAGCTTCAATCTTTACGAATATGCCCGAATCAAAGAAAGCGATCGAGTTTATTTTCAAATTAAAAGGTTATACTTGCTTTTTGTTGCAAACATACCATCACTTTGGGGAAGAACACTAATCTATGCAAGAAAATACGATTTTTGAGCAAATTGTATCTTAAAATCTTCATTTTTGTCTAGAACCCTTGTTCTTGTAAGCAACACGGTTCTTTCAGGCATTTTCCACTATAACAAAAAGTCTTGATAACATATACTTTATAGGACTTAGGTTTATAAGATCAAACTATGAAACATCCTATTTAAAAGTGCTACAACAAGTTTATAGGAAGCTTTTAGTCATTTTATCAAGTTTTTAGGACGCTTCTAAAATAAAGTATTGTATTAGCTATTTTATGAGACAATTTTAAGAAGTATTTATCAAACACTTGTGTTTACAGGACTCTTTTTCAAACAGTGTCGTATAAAATGATTAATACAACATTTTAATTTAAAAGCGTCATAAAAATCATGTTAAAACATCTAAAAAGCACCTTAAACTGTTGTAACACTTTTAGATAGAATGCTTTATATTTTTGTTGTCGTGTTCATAGAAATGATGGTTAGTTTGCAACAATAAATCAGATTCGATGGTTTAAAAATTAAACACAATCAATCGAATCAAAGATCGAAGAACTAAAAGTAGTACCTCCAAGTTGAAGCTTGAGTTCCCCCTTTTCGATAGCTTGTAAAATGGAAAGTCCAACGGTAACTGCAAATTTCCCTCCATAAGATTCTGCAAAAATGTAAACCGGACTCTTTTGACGACTTGGGCTTATGTTGTAGATCGTCTTCAACAATGTAGTTAAATCTGTTGCTGCTTCAATGTCGGTTGTGACAAACAAGTTGTCATCTTCTACGTAACTGAATCCAGTCCCGACTGGGCTATCCTAGAATCATTAAGGAAGTTGCTAATGATGAAATTAACGAAAATGATATCTGATAGCATGGAATAAGAAGTTCGAAATTTGTATACCACAAACAATATATCTGCCTTCTGAAGCCATGTCGAGTTTCGTGGCTTCAAGTTGACATCCAGTGGCCCAATTTCACCAAAATTTCCGAAGCCAACTCCAGAACCGCCCTGACATGAAAAAGAACGTTAATTTAGCAACCAGAATCGAGTGTAATCGACCAATTTGATCATTGTTAGACCTATTTGTGCGACGACTGACATGCCTCAATATAACAAAATTAAGTTTATGGAACGCTTTCAGGCTTATTAACAAGTGTTTAGCACATTCTTAAAATAAATTATCGTATTAACACATATTTTTATAAGACATTTGTTTTATAAGACTTTTTTCTTTTCAAATAAAGTCATAAACAAATTAGTATAAACCTTCAATTCAAAAACGTACTAAAAAACTTGTTAAGACTCTAAAAAACGTCACTTAAACTTATTGGAACACTTTTAAAATAAAATGCTCCATTGGTTGGTCCTTTAAACTTAAGTCCTATATAAAACTATATGATTCTACTGTTGGTGCCTCTTTCAGTATGGTCATGAATAAGCTAGGGTCGGGCCGTTGGAACCTCTTGGCCATGGAGTTAGTCGAGGTGCGCGTAAGCTGGTCTCCCATGGTTAAGAAAACAATGCATATTGGTTGTGATGACCATGCTGACATTAAGCGAGACAAAGAAACCGACACGAAATTAAAGCCTCTACTAGTTGTTATATTGTTATAGCTACTAAAACCATTAAACCACCAACTTTTGAATAAAGTTTTTCAAGAGGTTCCATCCGTTTAAAAAAAACTCTTAGCAACAACCATTAGTGACCAAATTTAGTCGTGAACACATACGTATTATTCCTATTTCGGTACTTACAGGGCCTCCTTGAAGCCATAGAATCGTAGGCCATGGTTTGGATGGATCGTCGACTCTATTAGGACTCCAATACAACCACCAAAACATATGCGCTCCTAAAAAGAAAACAACAAATTAAAGCTAAAATGCGATAACAGATTGAGATTTTAAACTTAATACCGATGAATATAATTATGAAAACCTAAAAACTTACGAGGGCGAACTTCAACATATCCCCATGTTTCAGATCCATCGTCAGTGCCTTCGAGACCGTTGTTGGTTGATGTTATAGAAGAAACGAAACCTAAAACGCACACAAAAAGAAGAAAAGGATATTTCATGGTGACCATCATGATGTTCAAAATGAAATAAGAGTAGAAGAAAAGTTTGTATAAGTAACATAATATGTAACATAAGAAGCTTCTCCTCTTTGTTTTCAGTGATAAACAAAAAAACAAGAAAATTTGGATGATGGACACAAGAAATGAAGTGTTACAATGGAGAAACAATTAAAATTTGAAAGTTTTGTTGTATTATATGTTATGTAATGCATTTTTTGTCTATTGCTCTAGCTTGGCTTGACTGGCTTAAATTGTATTTTCAAGGCAAAGTGATAAATAGATTGTTAGTACAACCCGTTCAATTTGGCTCGGCTCGGCTCGGCTCGACTTGACTTGACTTGACTTGAATGGTTGGTTTTTACACTAGAGACTCTAAATTGAATAGTGTACGCTCAATTTTCAGTTTTTCAAAATGGCCGATTGATTATAGAATATACAAACGACCTAGACAAGCCACCCAAATTGCTTCGATATGACTAAGGGGTTGTTTACCCGATACAAACACGTGCACCAAGTGTTAGTGTTAGTGTGGTATTTGTTTTAACGAAATTACTTTACCTTATAATATACTTTAGTGTTAGTGTGGTATTTGTTTTAACGGTGATGAAACTAATTTAGCAACTCATCGTAAAGGTCAAAATGGTTTTATACTTTATAGTCACTTTGCTTGATCAAAAGAACACGAAATTGCCTTCGTATTCTAAGCAACGTTTACAGGTTCACCTTAGCCGAGGCCGCATTGTTTGACGATAAGGATGGATGTTCAATTTTAGAATCTGTGTTTGATGAAATCATGAATGCTAATAATTCTGAATTATAAGAATTAGAAACTCATGTTGTGAGAACCAACGATGGATATTTACTTTTCAAATCTCTGGATAATATTGAAGATGGTTATGTCGTACAAGAGACAATAAATAATATAACACATCCTCAAAAAAAAAATTGACCCAGAATTTTTAAAAGACACTACAACAAAATCAGGTTTATAGGACACTTCCAATTTTTAAGCGTCCTATTAGACCTCTTTATAAAACTTAGTTTATAGGATCAAAAAACAAAGCGTCTTATCTAAAGGCGTTGTAATAAGTTTATATGACGTTTTTTGATGTCGTAACAAGGTTTTTAGGACATTTTTAATACAAAACGTCCCATTAGCAACTTTATAGGACATTATTTGAAAAACTGTCCTATAAAAATAAATGTCATATGAAAAATTGAGTTTATAGGACACTTTCTCAAAAGTGTCCTATAAAGTTGCTAATGCGACACTTTGTATTAAAAAATGTCCTAAAAAACTTGTTAAGACGCCCAAAAACGTCATATAAACTTATTACAACACCATTAGATATGACGCTTTTTAGTTTAGTCCTATAAATCAAGTCCTATAAAACGGTCTATTGGGATGCTTAGAGATTGGGGGTGTCCTATAAACCTAATTTTGTTGTAGTGAGATAAATCTTGTCATATTCCAAACACACAAAGGGGTTTTAACAAACCATGTAAATTCACTCTAATCTAGAATTTGTGGAACTGAAAGTTCAATATGAAATAGCTCAAAGTTTCAAAATCTAAACAAAACCTTAGATTAAAAGGTGTTTCAGAATTTGAGTGTAAGGACAAATGTGAATCCTCCTGTGTTAAGACTAACGGGTTGTTTGATTGTTGCTGAATAGTTTGGTGTACAATGACTAAGTGGTTAGAACGATTAAGAGACTCTTGTAATATAGTGTAAAATGAAATATAATTGTTTGGTAATTATTAATAATGAAATTAGGGTGCTGAATGGTTAAAGAAGACTCAAAATACAAAATCTTTTAGAGTGTTTTAGAATCATTAAGAGGCAGATTTTTTTTTGTCAAACAAGATTCACCTCTTAACGATTTAGAGGCTGCCTTTCAATGAAATAATTAAAAGATAAACAAACAACCCCTAAGATAGTCAAAAGAAGATTTACAAGGGCTTAAAAAGGCAAAGGTATTCTTATATCTCCTACTAACACAAAATCTTTGTATGTTTCAGATAAAAGAGGCCAAAAGAGATTAATCTGGCAAAAGAAGACTAGACAGGGTGCTATCAGATTAGATTCTTCAAAATCAAAACCTATACTAGTTGAAAAGAAAAGAAAAGTGTTAGTGCCAAGCTTACAAACAACAAAATGTATACTTTTTAGTCCAAAGTTTCTAAGCCTACTTTTGTAAAGGTTAATATTTCAGCTAATTGTATGCGGAATGAAATGCTTACTCTCATTCAAAAGCACATTCAATGTGATAACTGAGGACAAAACAAATGCAAATTAAACTTTGATTTTTTAAATGGTCTAGAAAAGACTGGTATAAGGCAATATCAAACTATAGACAGATTGATCAAAAATCTGAATGTACTCCTGAGACTATCTAGAAATTGATATTTAATGCTAAATCCAAAGTTTTATCCAATCCTTCATTACGTGCTAAATCTGAATATGTCATTAAGTGGAAGCCTAAGTCTAAGCTTAAGGCTTCTAGGCCAAAGTCTGGATCAGGACTTGTTAAGGTTTAGAGGACAAAAGCTAAATCAGTTGCCTCAACAAAGTCCATCAACAAAAAAAGGACTCATTCAAAAAGGGTACCTAAATTTGTGTAATTATCCTTGCAGGAAAGTCATGTGTGGTACTTTGATTATGGATGCTCTAGACACATGACTGGTTTCAAGCATTTATTGACATATTGCAAGGAAAATCCTGGAGGACAGTTTGAAAGACATACTTTGATATTGGTTGAAAGAACTCTAAGTATAAACTCTGAAGTGGAAGACCAGACTTATATTCAAAGTATCTATTTAGGCTTTGCACTTCGTTTTTTTTCATCTTTAGAACTTGTACATAGGAACTATAGCATACTAGAACATGTGTCTTGTATTCATTAGTATGTATCCTACCGTCATGTATCTTTAAAGTTTCCTCTGTACTTCAAATAGGCGAGTAGAGAGTTTATTAGTATCTTTTGTAAGTTAAGACAATTAATTCAGTTGTTCTTCACTGTAATATTTATCTCTCTACATTCTCTCTGTAATCTCATGAACATCAGTGACATAATAACATTTGGACCTTGATCTCTCTACTATCATTTACTTCTATCAGTTACTTGATTGTATTAGATCTGTTTTGGGATCCTATAACAGTTAGTATTGGAGATGATCACAAATGATTTATTATAGGGCACGAAGTATTTGTAACACCCTGAAATCTGGAAAAAACGACTAATTTAAAACAATAATACATCAAATAAAAGATGAATCTCTCTCCATAAATTAATACTAGATTTCCTCGAATAGTAAAACTAGATTTAACATTAACAATTGATAAAGTCGCCATCTCCAAATGTGAAAGACGTCTCCAATTTGCTAATTATATCTCGTACCTCTCAGTAGAACTAAACTCTTCAGTGTCTCTAGTGTCATTCCCCAACAAGGACTTGATGCACATGCCGACAAAGAAAAAATGTTATAGTCAATGCCTAGTGAGTTCAAATAGTTTTCATCATAAACATTAACAATGGTAAAACTGAAGAGATGTTATTTTAAATTACAATGCCAAAATTAAATGTATTTCATATAAAAGCAACATCCTTTCCAAAACCCACCATTTTCATGATGAAAGCTTGTTTATAAAAACACCCCTTTATTCATGAAACCAAAGTCCAATACTCACCAAAAGTGAATGAAATTAAATGTTCACATAATAAAACATGGATAAAACTCTATCATCCAAAACACCCAAAATAGAGACAAGGTTCAATACCCAAAACCATAAATAATGGAAAATACTTCATAAGAAATGTCACCAAAAAAACATAGATAAAACTAGATACCCAAAGCAACACTTTTCACTGATAGGGGAGACCCGATTTCCATAGTTAATGCTGAAACACGAAGGTAGGCCACCAATCCATATTATACAACACATCCTGAGAATCAATGGCCCCAATGAGATCAATTAACTGCGATTTATAGTTCAAGGCCCCCGATGATCCAAGTACACTCATTTACTAGAAATTACATAAGTATTTGACTCTTATAAGACCCTACCAAGTTGCCCCCAATGACCCAATACCTATTTCTGGCAATAATACATGAATACCCATCCCATTAAAATCGACACATAACATACACCATATGGTCAATGGCAGATATTAGAGTTCAAGAGCCCACACCATGAGGCCCCCAATGACCCAATGCATATTCTTGGCCACAAGACGGGAACAACCGTCCCATTTCAAACTAATAAATATTGACTCTTATGTCTATTGATCTATTGCATTACAGTCTAAATTACATGACCCCAAAAGAATGACACGCACTCAAAGAATGTAATATTTCAATTGAATATGCTTTAACTGCATATAACTCCAAAAGCTCGACATAGAGCAAATAAACCGGTAAAAAGTCCCAAGACTCAACTGAGTCAAAACCTAGTCGAGAGCTCAACAACTCAAATTACTATATAACATAAGTCATCAAAAGTGATAAAAACACCTTTAACCAAGGTTTATGCAAACACATGTTCTAAGGGCATGATTAACTCAAAAACACATCATTGACATTTGTTGGTCCCGGTTGGGTCTACAAGAGTTTTAAAGAAATAGTTTGTAGAAAGAGGGATGAGTACAAACATAAAAAAATTTTCAAATTTAAAAATATATATTGATAAAGAAAGATCAATACAGATTTTTACAGATTGTATGCGGAAATAGACAAGGTAAAAATAACCTATCTAAAAAAATCTAAGTTTACACACAGATAATCTTAGCAAAGAGAAAAGATTTGCTGAAAGATAAAGAAGAAAATAAGTTCTTCTTGGGTAAGAACTTTTAGAATACTTGAGAGGGATTCTAACTTGTTTGAAGATAAGCGTAAGTGTTCTTTTAGATGTGTGTGTGTGTCTTCACGTATCTCTGCATGGAGAGAGCACTCATCTATTTAT